GAAGAACACAAAATAGAGCCTCTGCGGGAGGCGGGAGAGCTAACAAAAGTCATCCTGTCCCACACGTTGTTGTGATTTGTGCTCATGTAATTGTCACAGGGACCAGGTCTTCCCCACACTGTTGAGAAGAGGCAACTAAGTCTCTGAGAGTTGAAATAACTTGTGAACGTTAAAACTGTCACTTTGTGGCAAAGTCAAGCATTCAAGCTCAGGTTGTCTAGTTTCATTTCTTTAACTTTTTTTTTTCCTCTGAGACAGAGTCTGGCTCCCTCAGCCCAGGTTGGCGTGTCGCCGTCACGGCTCACTGCAGCCTTGACCTCCTGGGACTCAAGCCCTCTTCCCACCTCAGCCTCCAGAGTCACTGGATGCCCCGGTGGGTGCCACCACACCCAGCTAATTTTTCAGTTTTTAGTTTTTTTGTTTTTGTGTTTGTGTTTTGAGACAGAGTCTCACTCTGTCACCCAAGCTGGAGTGCAGTGGGGCAATCTGGGCTCACTGAAACCTCTGCCTCCCGGGTTCCAGCTATTCTCCTGTCTCAGGCTACTGAGTAGCTGGGATCACAGATGTACACCACCACGCCCAGCTAATTTTTTGTATTTTTAGTAGAGACGGGATTTCGCCATTTTGGTCAGACTGGTCTCAAACTTCTGACCTCTGGTGATCCGCCCACCTCAGCCTCCCAAAGTATTGGGATTACAGGCATCAACCACGGTGCCCAGCCCTCAGTTTTTTGTAGAAATAAGTTCTCACTATGTTGCCAAGGCTGGTCTCAAACTCCTGGGTTCAAGCGATCCTCCCACCTCGGCCTCCCAAAGTGCTGGGATTAGAGGTGCGAGTCACAGCCCAGCCTCAGTGTCTAGTTTCAAAGTCTAAGCACTACTCCAATCCTTCCCAGCATAGTTTCCTGGGGAATAAACGCAATGCTCTGGTGAGACCATAAGGCAGGGCACACATGGCCTTTCGCTGGTCTGGAACTAGTGTGTCCGTCCCTTCGGTGTGGGCGTGTGAAGGAAGCCTCTGGGACTCCTTGCAGTGCAGGTAGAATGAAGGGAGGGGACAACCAACACATACACGGCACAGGACGCACAGGGAGCCTTCCTGCCTGCCGGAGACGCACTTGGGGAAGAATCAGAGAGACACCCAGCGCCTTCTGTGCACTGTGTTCACCACAGTGGGAGGTATAGTAGCGACCAACAGAAAATCTGAATGCTACACCATGGCGGAATGATTACATAAATTAGGGACAGTCATATAATGAAGTACTACTCCCATTAAAAATCATATTTTCTGCCTGGCACAGTGGCTCACGCCTGTAATACCAGCACTTTGGGAGGCCAAGGCGGGTGGATCACGAGGTCAAGAGTTCAAGACCAGCCTCACCAAAACAGTGAAGCCCCATCTCTACTAAAAATACACAAATTAGCCGAGTGTGGTGGCACGTGCCTGTAAACCCAGCTACAAGGGAGGCTGAGGCAGGAGAATCACTTGAACCCGGGAGGTGGAGGTTGCAGTGAGCCAAGAGCATGCTATTGCACTTCAGCCTGGGTGACAGAGTGGGACTCCATCTCAAAAAAAAAAAAATCAGGCCGCGTGTGGTGGCTCATACCTGTAATCCCAGCACTTTGGGAGGCCAAAGTGGGTGGATCACCTGAGGTCAGGAGTTCGAGACAAGCCTGACCAGTGTGGTGAAACCCCATCTCTATTGAAAAAAAAAAAAAAATTAGCCAGGCATGGCGGTGGGCGCCTGTCGTCCCAGCTACTGGGGAGGCTGAGAGAGAAGAATTGTTTGAACCTGGGAGGTAGAGGTTGCAGTGAGCCGAGATCACGCCACTGCACTCCAGCCTGGGGGACAGAGCGAGACTCCACCTCAAAAAAAAAAAAATTCATAGTTTCTAAGACAATTAAATTCAATGCATGCTCCTATATTATTTCTGGTCACTGGAAGACTGAAAAACAACTATAAAGAACATTACAAGGACAAGTGACAAATTTTCATATGAAGTGTTTATTAGGTGATATCATTGTGTCCTTTATTGGATGTAGATTTTTGGATAAGATAAATGTAATGTAATAAAATGTGCTAATTCATAGAAGACACATGCTTATACATTTAGGAATATAAAAATTCATATTTTCAAGAACTATCTGATTGAAGGAAGTTCACTATGTAATATTATGGTAACTTTTTTTCATTTTGCTAAAAGCATACATACGTTAAAAAACAAAGGATTAGAAAGATATACACAAAAATGTTAGCACTGGTTATCTGCATGTTGTAAAATTACATGCAATTTTTATTTTAACCTTTGCACATTGCAGCATGTTCTCATTTTCCTGTGGTGATGTATTAGGTCTCATCCTTCCAAGGTACACGCCAGGGATAAATCCAAGAATACGGAAGGCTGGACTGGCCACATTCTTCAGTTAACTCAGTGTAAGAGGGCCTTGTAAAGTGATCTAAGGTCAGATAAGGTACCGATACTCTCTAAGGAGAGATTGATAGGGAGATTGTGGTGGGGCAGGGGGAGGTACACCAGGAAGCTGGGAATAATCAGACCAAAAAAGTAGATAAAGATCTTATCTGAAGTTGTTTTGGATATCAGATTTCAGCATAAGAGATTGGCAATATTTGATTTTTAAAGTGCTCCAGGAGGAAGAAAATTTAAAAATGAAGCAAATTGCAGTCCGATGCGGAAGATTCCTCCTGATGTCCTTCCTCCTTCTTCTAGCTGATTTTGAAGAGATAGAGAAGCAAATTCCACTTGGAATAGCTGTGTCCTGGGGAAACGGACCACTCAGGAAAGGGGGGTAGACAGGGATTTGGAGAGCAATTAACAAGGGAGGATGAGGGAACAGCTTAAGGAATGGTGGCAGGTTCTGTGGGGACACCCTCATATTCAGGGAATGTCGTTATCACAAGTTGAAAGGCCGAAGCAGCGAGACCCCGCCCTGAGCAGTGCAAGGGATGAGTGTCTACACGAGGGAACACGCCTCCCAGGGTCCACTCTCACTCCCCTTCATCCCCACTCTCACTGCCCATCTCACCCCCTCTCTCACTCCCCTTCACCCCCGTTCTCACTCCCCAAAGTAAATGTAAATTACTTTTGTACTTTTTTATTTACTTAGTCCTTCCACAAAATTGGGATTTTCGGTAATCAAGGAAAGATATATTCCAAATGTTTGCAGTTTGCTTTTTATAATTTTGTTTCTTAGCTTTTGAGGTGAGAAATCAAGATATGAAATCTCTATAATAAAATAAGTGGAGCCCAGGTGTGGTGGCTCACACCTACAATCCCAGCACTTGGGAGACCGAGGCGGGCGGATCACTTGAGGTCAGGAATTCAAGACCAGCCTGGCCAACGTGGCAAAACCCCATCTCTACTAAAAATACAAAAATTTGCTGGGCATGGTGGCGGGCGTCTGTAGGGATTAAGCTACTCAGGAGGCTGAGGCAGGAGAATCACTTGAACCCTGGGTGGAGGAGGCTGCAGTGAGCCGAGATTGCACCACTTCACTCCAGCCTGGGCGACAGAGCAAAATTCCATCTCAAAAAAGAATAATTTTAAAAAATAAATAAAATAAGGCCGGGCGTGGTGCTTATGCCTGTAATCCCAACCCTTGGCTAATGCCGAGGCAGGCGGTCAGGAGATCAAGATCACCCTGGCCAACATGGTGAAACCCCGTCTCTACTAAAAATAGAAAAATTAGCTGGGCATGGTGGCGAGTGCCGGTAATCCCAGCTATTTGGGAGGCTGAGGCAGGAGAATTGCTCGAACCCCGGAGGCGGAGGTTGAAGTGAGCCGAGATCGCTCCATTGCACTCCAGCCTGGGTGACAGAGAGACTCCATCTTAAAACAAACAAACAAACAACACACACCTGCAGGGACAGATCACTGAAGACAGCGAGCCTAGTGCAGACCACCAGCCGAAAGAGCTCCCCTCAGCCGCCACCCCTTCCTAACAAACCCTGACTTTCCTCTTTTTTTTTTTTTTTTTGAGATGGAGTTTCGCTCTTGTTGCCCAGGCTGGAGTGCAATGGAATGATCTCGGCTCACCTCCTGGGTTCAAGTGATTCTGCTGCCTCAGCCTCCCGAGTAGCTGGTATTACAGGCATGCGCCACCACGCCCGGCTAATTTTTGTAGTTTTAGTAGAGATGGGGTTTCTCCACGTTGGTCAGGCTGGTCTCAAACTCCCGACCTCAGGTGATCCACCCGCCTCAGCCTCCCAAAGTGCTGGGATGACAGGCGTGAGCCACCGCGCCTGGCCTGCCCTGACGTTTTGAGGTAAGAGGAGGGTAGGCTCTTTGGCCTTCCAGAGATTGAAAGCCTTCAATCGCAGAACATCCCAAAAGCCCAGAAAAGAACCTTATATACAGTGCGGTCTAGTCGCTTGGCGTCCCCTGCTGTGATACGTTTACTGAATAGAGACTTTACTCTGACCTTTTAACATATTAACAGAAGGTTCCAGCCTCTTGTGATTATGGAAACGTGAATGGTATGACGATATTCGCACAAATCTTTGCAGTGTTCTGAATTATACTTATGTATATAAGTATATATAAGCCTTCCTGAGCACAAACACTGCAGGCTCGTGGGATGGGAAGGAAAATGGCTTTTGGGAGAAGGATGAGGCCTGAGCCCTTTCACCCGCCCTGGAAAGATGTGCCCGTGCCTCGGTTTCCCAGACGGATTTGAGTTGCCCCAGCCTGCAGAGCTCTGCACGGAGGACAAAGACACATTCGAACAGCACAGTTTTTCAGAGTCAAATAATTAAATACACTTGAAAAAGTGACATCTATTTATAAAGTCCGGCCTATGGCAGTAGGATTCATGGTAACAGGGTCTCAGTATTTGAGTGACCAGCACATACATGGGGTAGCCTAGAGAATTCGTTTAGTTAACGACACAGAATATGATCAGCTCTCTTCTGTTGGGGTTGAAGTCGATCGTGTAATTTGGCTGTTCATAGTGGGATCAAGTTAATGGAAACTCTTGGGGGTGGGGTGGGGGTAGGGGAGTTTATTTCAGATCACCTGACATTAATACTGTCGATGCCTTCATCATCTTAATAGTTATGTCTTGGTCTCAGACATCGCCCGCTGTGAAGGCTCAGGGCACGCCCCTCAGACGTGGCTGTTGAGTGAGCAGATGGTGAGAGGGTCTGTGTTTGTCCCCTCATTTGGGAGGCAGGGGGAAAAGATAGGCCTGAGAGCCTCTTGGAAAGAAGCCGGCGGGAAGCTGTAGATGAGGGACTCATCCGTCCCGTTGTAGAATGCTATATGTCCAGACTCATAGTCCAGGAAGACACCAACCTTACACACAGGTTCTCTGACGTGCTGACCCTTCAGAGGGGACGAGACCCAGAGGCTGTAATCGTCTCCGATTTTTAAACCGATCAGTGAGAACAGGTCCCCGGGCGGCTTGGGGAGGTTCCCCTTTCGGCTCACCGAGTCCTTGCAGATGCCCACTTCCCACTCCGTCTTGTTTCCCACCTCCACCTCCCAGTAGTGTCTCCCACTGGTGAAGATCTGAGCGCCCAGCACGGTCGCAGACTGGTCAAATCTCTCCGGGTTGTCGGGTAGCTGCTGTCTGCTTCCCCCGTATTTCACACTCTTCAGATCCTCAGACAACACGAGATAAGCATTGGCTGTGGCTGGGTCCAGCGTTATCTCCGCTGCAAGAGGAGGAAGGAAGAAATTTCCCTTGGGCATGCTTGAAAAACCTCTTACATATGTGAGATTTACATTGAATTCTTAGTATTTAGTCCTGGTTTTTTAAATCTAATTTAGGGCCGAGCGCGGTGGCTCACGCCTGTAATGCAGCACTTTGGAAGGACGAGCGGGGCAGATCACAAGATCGGGAGTTCGAGACCAGCCTGGCCAACATGGTGAAACCCCATCTCTACTAAAAATACAAAACATAGCCAGGCGTGGTGGCGTGTGCCTGTAATCCCAGCTACTCAGGAGGCTGAGGCATGAGAATTGCTTGAACCCAGGAGGTGGAGGCTGCAGTGAGCCAAGATTACACCACTGCACTCCAACCTGGGTGAGAGAGCAAGACTCTCTCAAAAAAAAAAAAAGTGTTTGGTTTAGAACAAAATTTCTGAGTTCCTCTTTCACTGTTCCACAACACATATCATGAAGCTCCAAATGGAGAGAGAGAAGAGCCTCGTGGAGAAGGAGCTCTGGCCTGCTGGGGTGGGGAGGAGAATCCCTGTGAGGGAATGGACGTTGCTCTGTTTACAGGACATCTTTAGAGCTCTGAACTGTGTATCCACACAGGGATACCCTTGGTGGTTTGCCTTCATATTAGCCATGGTAGGTTCTGGTTCTTCAATTTGGGTGGGAGAGAAAATAGCACTTACCTTTGGCTGAACTTCTAATGTGCCCAACATTTTCTATACATTATCTCATTTAATCACTGCAAGCATTCTTTTATCATTTTTACAAAACAGAAAACAGGTTCACGAAGGTTAGGAAACTTCACCAAGATTACACAGTTACTGAGTGTTCGAATCACAATCCCTAACCAGCTTTTTTCATCACGTCATGACAAGTGCAGCTTCCTGTGAGTTCAGTGCAGCACCCGGGGACCACCTGATGAAGCACACACACGCTGTGAACCGACAGTCACATACGGGGCCTCCTTCTCTTTTTTTTTTTTTTTTTCCTGAGACAGAGTTTCACTCTTGTTGCTCAGGTCGGAGTGCAGTGGTACGATTTTGACTCACTGCAACCTCCACCTCCCAGATTTAAGCAATTCTCCTGCCTCAGCCTCCTGAGTAGCTGGGATTACAAGTGTCCGCCACCACGCCTGGCTAGTTTTTTTGTATTTTTAGTAGAGATGGGGTTTCATCATCCTGACCAGGCTGGTCTCAAACTCCCGACCTCGGGTGACCCACCCACCTCAGCCTCCCAAAGTGCTGGGGTTACCGGGCTACTGTGCCTGGTCAAGGACTCCAACTTTTACTCATTGTCCAGACATGATCAGGTGCCCCAATCATTCCTTTTTTTTTTTTTTTTGAGACGGAGATTCTCTCTTGTTGCCCAGGCTGGAGTGCAGTGGTGCAATCTTGGCTCACTGCAACCTCTGCCTCCCGGATTCAAGTGATTCTCCTGCCTAGGACTCCCGAGTAGCTGGGATTACAGACGCCCACCATCACACAAACCTAATTTTTTTTGTATTTTTAGTAGAGACGTGGTTTTGCCATGTTGGCCAGGCTGGTCTCGAACTCCTGGCCTCAAGAGATCCGCCCTCCTTGGCCTCCCAAAGTGCTGGGATTACAAGCGTGAGCCACTGCACCTGGCCCCACTCATACCATTTCATGCTTTTATGTATATACCAGATCCCACCATAACTAATTATCTGTGTGATTAATGCCTGTCTCCTCAATTTCATTGAAAATTCTACAAAAGCAAAGGCAAAATTTGCCTTATTTATCATTGTAAGTAAGTGCACAGCCCAACAGCACAGTGCCGGGCCCATGGCAGGGGTTTATTCAACACTCTGGAGTTCAAAGCTCATTAGACCTTCCTCTGAGGGTCAGATTGTCCCCAAGATAAAAGCTGAGAACTAATCCTGACGTCTCTGGGTGTTAGCCAGACTAAACATCTGGAGCATTCTACAAGGACAGTTCGTCGAATGCGCCCTTGCTGGGATTGTAGAATTTAAGTCAGCTTTTATCCTAACGGGAACAGAGCTAGAAACGTAGACACCCCTGCATGAGAGGGTGTGTCTGCATGTGCAAGGTGGGGATGGAAACAACAATGACAAAACCAACAAAGAAAGGACCAGGATTGGCTGGGCGTGGTGGCTCAAGCCTGTAATCCCAGCACTTTGGGAGGCCGAGGCAGGCAGATCATGAGGCCAGGAGATCGAGACCATCCTGGCTACCACGGTGAAACTCCGTCTCTACTAAAAATACAAAAAACTAGCCGGGCGAGGTGGCGGCGCCTGTGGTCCCAGCTACTCGGGAGGCTGAGGAGGAGAATGGCGTGAACTCGGGAGGCGGAGCTTGCAGTGAGCGGAGATGGGGCCACCGCACTCCAGCCTGGGTGACAAAGTGAGACTCCATCTCAGAAAAAAAAAAAACAAAAAGGGAAGGACCGGACTTCTTACACAGAAAAAGAAGCCAGACAAAGCCTGAGTCAAGTCTCACTGCTTCTCTCTGCCCACGCTCAGAGACGGCCTGTGGCCCCAGCCCTCCTGATGTTCCTTGCTGGCCCAGATTCCTTAACCAGGAGCCTAGTGTCAGACAGTGAATGACCCTGGCAGAACGTCTGCTGAAGTTAATTCTACGAGCCCCGGAGGGGTAACACATCAGGCTGACTTACTGCTGAATTTTCTTAGCATTTCCTTCATTCCCGTGATGCGGCACAGACTCAGCTCTGTGGTGGTGGCCTCTGGACACTGAAGCAAGAGTGGCTCGCTCCTGCAAGACAGCAGACAAGTTCACTCCTCAGCACAGACCGCGCGACCTGCTCCCGCTGGAGAGTCCACCTCATTTCTCCCCCAGCAACAGCGCAGACCTCCGCTCCCCACTCCAAACCGGCCGTCAGCACCCCTTCCCCACGGCTTGCATAACTGGACACAGAGTGAAAGCCTACCTTTCCAGGGCTCCTCTCACTTCCTAAGGGTAAAAAAGAAAGAAGTTAGCACTGTGCGCTCCGATCGTAACACAGACGAAATTCATGTTGCAGGCAGTCCTTGCACAGCTCACAGAATCTGCTTCCCATGAGGCACGCCACGAGTGGGAGCACACAGAGCAGAGAAAAGGGGTGTGCCGTGGTGAACACAGGATGTTCCTCACAATGACTAGAGAATACTCGGTCCTTTTCTTTTTCTCGTGGCATCACTTTGTCCAGGGAACCCGTTCTGCAAACAAGCCAACTTGCTGGTCTCATTGACCATCCAGTGAGAGACAGAGATAGCAAAGGGAAATGGGCTGGTGACACCTGAGGCTACCCAAGCCTGTGTCGGGTCGGGCTGGTGTGTTTGGAAGGCCCTCAATTAAATGGTAGCATTCTGTGGAACCAGTCTGCAAACAGACCTGAAGCTGGGGTTGGATCACGTGGCTTATGTTTAAGAAAGTCCACGGCGGGGCGCGGTGGCTCTTGCCTGTCATCCCAGCACTTTGGGAGGCCGAGGTGGGTGGATCACAAGGTCAGGAGATCGAGACCATCCTGGCTGCCATTGTGAAACTCCGTCTCTACTAAAAATACAAAAATTAGCCGGGCGTGGTGGCGCATGCCTGTAATCCCAGCTACTCAGGAGGCTGAGGCAGGAGAATCGCTTGAACCCAGGAGGCGGAGGGTTCAGTGAGCCAAGACTGCACCACTGCACTCCAGCCTGGGTGACAGTGTGAGACTCTGTCTCAGAAACAAAAAAAAAAAAAGAAGGTCCTGAAGAATGCAGTAGCCTAGAAAGACAGTAGACCAAAGGTGGTGAGAAATAGGAGCCCCCTGCACGGAACAGTGGGGCTCTCCCATCTATTAACTATCAGGCGGGCAGATCGCCCGAGTACCACAGGTGTGAATAATTAATCAGTGCTGCTGTTAACCCATCCTGTAGATGACAGTCATCTAGACCTAGAGTTCATATCATAATGGTACTTATCTTCATCAGGTCTTTGTGAAGATTAAATTTAATCTGCCCAGCACATAGTAAATACACATTAATAAACTAGAAAAAAAAATTAACAAAGCTGAGGTTGCAGAGAGGCAAGTATAGAAGAAATTGAAGCCACCGTCAGGCTTGTTTGGGATAAGCATTCCTCTGGATTTTTTTTCTCTCTCTCTCTTCTATAAGGCTTTATTGATATACAGAATGTCAATTCTTCAGGAAAACTACTTTTGGACCAGAACTTAGTTTTTAAGATGAATAAAGAAAACATTATTTCCTATGGCTTGAAGTGCTATGAGTTACTATAATTTTTCCCATGACTCTCGTGAATGTTACCCTCACCTCAAGAGATTCTAAAGCCGAGCTTTGACTGGAGGACTCCATCTGTCCGATCATTTTGCTCAGGCCTCTGATTTGCTGGGTCAATTTGATCTCGTTGTTCCTCAGTTTCCTCATGTTCTCTCTCTCTTCCTGTTCTAGTAGCTGGAGTTGCAGCTGCTCCTCTTCCTTCAGGAACTGGTGCATTTTCATGTATTCTGACACAACAACCTGTTTGCAAGTCTTTGTTTCTTCCTGCCAAAACACACACACACACACACACACACACAGAGATAAAGTTAGTAAGAGAAATGTCCCTGTCTGTAGATGTTTAATCCTTACAAGTCCTAGAGTTTCTTTTTCTTTCTTTTTTTTTGAGACAGAGTCTTGCTCTGTCGCCCAGGCTGGAGTGCAGTGGCGCAATCTCGGCTCACTGCAAGCTCCGCCTCCTGGGTTCCCGCCATTCTCCTGCCTCAGCCTCCCAAGCACCTGGGATTACAGGTGCCCACCACCAGGCCCGGCTATTTTTTGTATTTTTAGTAAAGACAGGGTTTCACCATGTTGGCCAGGATTTTCTCAGTGTCTTGACCTGGTGACCCACAGTCCTTGGCCTCCCAAAGTGCTGGGATTACAGATGTGAGTCACCGTGCCTGGCCAAGTCCCAGAGTTTCATGGCAGCAGTTACTGAAACCCAACATATAACACATATATTCTATTGATGCGCTCCGTGTAGAGGCTGATGTTTTCAGAGGTATGTGCACTGTAGACACAACAGTGAACAAAACCCAAATCTCCATTCCCAGGAGGCTGTCGTTCTAGTGGAGAAAACCGAAAACGAGTAAGAAGTATGACAGGTAGTGATCAGGACTATGATACAAATAAAACAAAATTAAGAAAAATTATGAAAAATGCGTTTTCATTTATTCAGTAAACATTTATTCAGTGAAAATAGGTGTCAGATAACCATAAAGGAATAGAAATATATACGGCAAACATTCTCACTGAAGAATTCGAAGTCTATGGCCAAGCACGGTGGCTGGCGCCTGGAATCCCAGCACTTTGGGAGACCGAGACACGTGGATCACCTGAGGTCAGGAGTTCGAGATCAGCCTGGCTAACATGGTAAAAACCTATCTCTACTAAAAATACAAAAAATTAGCTGGGCGTGGTGGCGGGCGCCTGTAGTCCCAGCTACTCGGGGGGCTGAGGCACGTGGTGGCACACGCCTGTCATCCCAGCTACTTGGAAGGCTAAGGCAGGAGAATCGCTTGAACCTGGGAGGTGGCGGTTGCAGTGAGCCGGGATCGCACCACTGCACTCCAGCCTGGGAGACAGTGAAACTCCATCTCCAAAAAAAAGAAAAAAAAAAAAAAATGAATTCAAATGCTTTGACTGCCGCAGAGCTCAAATCCACGTCTGTGACCAACCTTGAGGACTTATCAGGTCTCATCTAAACCACTATTTTGCTTTTATATCTCTTTCTCTTTATTTCTTTTTAATTTGCATTTTTCCCTCAATGCTTTTGAGATATTTGTTTTTTAAATTGCTTTCCGTCTTCTGTTATGTGTCTGTAAGTATCACTTATGTTTTAAATAATTCTACGAGAGCCATCATAGAGGAGGCCACGGCACTGTCTAGCTGCACAAAGGAGTCTGCCCAGAGCGGGGGAACTGGAGCTGAGCCTTGAGATTCCAACGAAGACAGTCAGAAGGCGGCAGTCCAGTGTAAGGAAACCGCATATCTTAGGGGTGAGACTGGAAACATGTGTCTTTTTTTTTTTTCCTGAAATTTCACTAAATTTCCCTTTCGTCCCCCTCATGGGGTCATATACAAGCACCAAAAGTCAGACAGACACCGACCTGGCACAGTTTCACTCTCTCCTTCTCGTGGGTTAGTACAGCCTGAGCTTCCTTTCTCCTTATACACAAAAGATTCAGGATTTCCTGAAGTTTCTCCTGCAATAGAAACAAACCCTTTGTGGCAAATGAGCAGAGTACCGGGTCATGAAGGGGCTTGGAAGACCGGTAACAGCACAGTACTAGGCCTCTGAAACAAAGGGCAGGCCGGGCGCGGTGGCTCACGCCCGTAATCACAGCCCTTCGGGAGGCCGAGGCAGGCAGATCACTTGAGGTCAGTAGTTCAAGGCCAGCCTGGCCAACATGGTGAAACCCCATCTCTATTAAAAATACAAAAAATTAGCCAGGCATGGTGGCGGGCGCCTGTAGTCCCAGCTACTTGGGAGGCTGAGACAGGAGAATCGCTTGAACCCAGGAGGTGGAGGTTGCAGTGAGCCGAGATCACGCCACTTCTCGCCAGCCTGGGCGACAGAGCAAGACTCCATCTCAAAAAAAAAAAAAAAGACAGAAAGAAAAGAAAAGAAAAGGGGGGTGTAAGCGGGACTCACACTGGTTTGTGAGTGGTGCTCAGAGGGGCACTCCTGACTGTCCCCCATAGGGGACGTTAGGAAAGCTAACGGGGGGAGCCTGTGATGAGTCCTGGGGTTCACGCTGAGCAGCTGTCTTACCCTGTGATGCTCCTCAGCCTCGCTGGAGAGGGGCACTCTGTTTACACCATGGCTCTGGACTGCGAAGACGCTTCCACCCTGCTCGTCATCGGAGAGCGCCTTGGCAGCAGCGGGCATCCTCCCGTAGCTGCTCTGCTCATCCTCGCTCTGCAGCACCTGGGACCGGAGCTGCCTGGCGATGCTGGCCAGCCTCCCCAGACGCTCGTTCGGCTGGAAATGCGGGCCCTCCAAGCTCCTCCAGCACTCAGGACAAGATAAAGGCGTGTTATGTTCCTCCCAGCTCCGGAGCAGACACACCAGACAAAAGCTGTGCCCACACTCGGTGGTCACTGGGCTGCTAAAATAGTCCAAGCAGATGAAACAGGTGAGTTCTTCCCTGAGATTCTCCATCAAATCTGCTGTAGACATTTTCTCGAGGCTGGACATGGGGCAAGGTCACCTCTGTTCTGGGACTAGCAAAGCCCTCCCTACAGTCGCACGGTTTTGAGTAACACGTGGGTGACCTGTTGCTATGTTGTTATTACAAGAAACCCTTACCTCTTCTGTGCCTGATTTCACCAGCTGACATCCACTGTCCAACACAAAGCCAATTGTGACTTAATGTGGAACTCCTGTGCACTGGGCTCCTCACCAGCCCCAAACTTTGAGACTCACCTCTGTGCAAAGCACACATGCTAGAGGCTGAGGGCTCTGGCTTCTAACAGGATTACCATTGCGAGAATTGGTTATCATCCATAAATAGCACTGTGGAACCATGTGAACATGTGGGTTTTGGGCTGGAAGGCTGGGTGATTTGGTGTAAACCAGTAAAGAGACTTGAGTTTTGATGATCTCTAATAATATCTGAATTGGAAATTTGGTCCAAATCTTTTGGGAAACTCCGCTAATAAAACCTAGTTTTGAACTGAAAGAAGAAAACTGTAATACATCGTTCTTTTCTCATTAGCCCTTTGTTCTGCTTGACCAAAGCTTAAGCTTTCTGGTCCTTTATTGGGTACTGTGTACTTTTATTTAATTTTATTCATCCCAACAAAATGAGAACTCTTCCACGGGAGTAGTCCTTGGTGTTAGAAGCACCACGGATGGCCAGAGCTGTGTTTATTATTCTTCACTGCAGACCCTAGTCCTCACCCACCTGCCACCATGGAAAGCATCTAAAATGACATTGTAATTGGAAGTTGCCTCAAGAGGCTATCCCACTATGGAACAGATGGAAAGAATTACACTTTAGTATGAATGTAATTTTGCTCACTTATTTTCACCCATTGAAAATTTCCAGACTAGGCCCTTTCAAATCCCTGATTCTCTATCAGTTCTTACTGGACAGAAATGAAGTGTGCAGACTTTTTTTTAAACATATGAAAAAATAAATACCTAGTGTAGAGAATGTGCACAGTGAACACCGAGATTGGGGCCAAATGCCACAGATTCACTGTGTCCCCTGCTCAGGAGTCAGCTCCCGTCCTGACCCGCTTTCCGCTCGCTGCACGCCGGGAAGTGGCGCCTCAAAAGCTGTTCCTCAAACGCTAGAGCGTTTGACCCCCCCACTCACCCATCACGCCGTGTTTCTGTTTCCGTCCCTCACTCTCCAGCTTGGCAACCTTCCGTGGGTCGGGTCCATGATTCAGGTTGTTCCATTCATTGGGTTCTGACTGTCAAGGCTCCGACGGCCGCTTCTCTTCCACTTACCTCCAAGAGGATGTTAGATGTTTTCTTACCTTGAACTTTGGGAAAAAGGAGTTTTCTGGCTGAGAATGCTTTTTCCTCACCTTCCTTTCTCCGAGTCAAAACTCACCTTTCTGAAATCATTAATTCAAAATGTTTAAATCCTATATACATCCTTCGTAAAGCATATGTGAATTATTAGGATGAGAATTTAAACTATTTTAAAAAAAAAACAGAGTGAAAGTTACACTACTGTAAAGAGGAAGAGAGGTGGCATCAGGGTGGTGTCGTGAAACCTCTACCGAGATAGCTTCCAGGATACTGACTTGTCACAGCTTCAGAATATTGCTATGAGTTAGTCTTAAGTAAGGCTTGCAAAAAAAAAAAAAAAAAGTTGCCAGGGCGCGGTGGCTCACGTCTGTAATCCCAGCACTTTGGGAGGCCGAGGTGGGTGGATCACTCGAGGTCAGGAGTTCAAGACCAGCCTGTGCACATTGGTGGAAAGCTCCGTATCTACTAGCAATATGAAGTTAGGGCCGGGTGCTATGGCCATCGCCTTGTAAGTCCCAGCACTTTGGAGGCTGAGGCAAGCAGATGCATTGAGTGAGGGAGTTGGCTAGACGACGGGCAGCCTGGCCAATGGAGATAACCCTGTCTCTACTCAAATATATCAAAACCTGGCAGGCGTGTGGCGAATGCTCGTAATCACAGCTAGTAGTCCAGGAGCTGCAGACACAGAAGCAATTTGCTTGAACCTAGGGGTCGGAGGATTCGGGTGAGGCAAGGATTGACGATTGACTCAGGCTGGGCCGAAAAAGCGAACTCTGTCTCAAAAACAAGATTAAAATTAAAGATCCCGCTGCTGGGAGGCTGAGGGAAGAGAACGCACCTTGCGAACCCAAGAGGTGGAGGTCGTGTGACCAGATGCAGCGCCACTCGCACTCAGTATGGAGAAGAGAGAAAGACTACTCTCAAGCGAAAAAAAAAAAAAGTCTACAATAACACTAACTACCACCACTAGAAAAAGAGTTTATGAACTAGCCAGCACCTCCATTCCGTGTGTTATTCCAACACAACCCCAGGAGGAGTCTTTACCATTTACCGAAATCGTTAGAATAAGCCTCACAATGCAGTTACAGCACATCACAGAGCCAGTATTCCAATTTGGAATAGGGAGGCTGGCATAGTCTGTCTTCAAGTCACACCGATCTGATCCCTCCCGCTTCCCTCTTCTGGATAAATTGCTTTATTTTATAAGCATCATAACACAATGACCGTGTGCTATTCATTGGTGACTACAAGAACTCTTTGCACACGGCTCGATTTTTCTCTAAATGAGTTACAAATGAATAGAGGAACTATGTTATTATGGAATCATGGTCTTATATTTAGCTGGAAGTCAAGAGATCTTATAGTCCAACTACCTTCCACAGATGCTGAAGAAAACCGAGGCTCAAATAAATTGAATTCGTCCCCTGATACTTACTTACTACATAGGCCAGATTAGGACAGGAAACTGGAGCGCCTCCCTCCCAGTCTTTCTATTTTGTCAACACACTATACTGCGTCTCACTGATTGACTGGTGAGTGGGTGAAAATTTCCAGTTTTCTCGATAAAATGAACATTGCCCAATTGCTGTCAGAAGGGAGTCAGACAGCTGTCACGATGGAGTGATGGTGCGACAGGCATCTGAAATCACTGGCCACATTCACTCTTGGGAAGGCAGACTTCCTTACCGTCTTTCTAAATATATTACCTGGGCTTAATTCATGGATGAAATGCATTCACAGAGCAGACCAGCCTTCCCAAAATACATGACCCAGTCGCACTACCAGACACAGCTTCGGAGACCAACAACTCAAGTAGTTTCTTCTCTGGCTTTTCTCTCCTGAGAGGGTGACGCTAGGGGGACCCCAAGAGGGTCACAGTCACAACTATCAACTATCACCCAGATGCCATCAGGGTTGGTACATGCAGAAAACAAGGAACTTTATAGATATAGTTAGTAAGGGTTTATTTGTTGATGCGGCAGTGGACTAGATGGGAGCTTATTTGAAAAATACATTGCTTGAAAGCCTGGTTTTAAAAATAAAGTTAACCAGGCCCAGTGGCTTACGCCAGTAATCCCAGCGCTTTGGAAGGCCGAGGCAGGTGGATCACCTGAGGTCAGGAATTCAAGACCAGCCTGGCCAACACAGTGAAACCTCGTCTCTACAAAAATAGCCGGGTGTGATGGCGGGTGCCTGTAATCTCAGCCACTCGGGGCTGAGGCACGAGAATCACTTGAACCCAGGAGACAAAGCCAGCAGTGAGACATGATCACCGGGGCACTCCAGCCTGGGCACTGAGCGAGATTTCAAACAAAAAAAACTATAGGTGACCCTTGAGCAATGCAGGGGTTACAGGTGCTGACCCCTCGCACATCAAAAATTATCTTTACCTTTCCCAGAACATAACTACTAATAGTCTACTGTCGACCAAAAGCCTTATCAATAACAGAAACAGTCAATTAATATATTTTTGTGTTGCATGTATTATTTTATTCTTATCAAATAAGCTAGAGAAAAGAAAATGTTATTACGAGAAAATCTATTCACTAAGTGGAAGTGGATCATCATAAACGTCTTCACCCTTGCCGTGACCACGTTGAGGAGGCTGCGGAGGAGGGGGTGAGGGGGTGAGGGCGGGAGGGCCGGCCTTGCTGTCTCAGGGGTGGCAGAGGCCAGGCAGGTAGAGGAGGTGGAAGGCTGGGCAGGAGAGGCAGGCGTTCCTGGTGTAACTTTTATTGAGAAAAATCCATGTGTAAGTGTCCATGTTGAGGAGTTGAGACCCACGTTGTTCAAAGGTCATCTGTACATCTGTCATTTCATACCAGTCTGGAAAAGACAGGTTACTCAGCACAGCTCAGGGAACGTCGGGGCGTCATCTGGAGAAATACTTTCAGTTGATCTCTATCTCGCAACTTGCACCAAAGTATATTCCAGGTAGATACATACAGGATACGTGTGTGTGTGTATGTTGGGGGGGAGGGGGCGTGTCTATTTTTTCCCCTCTAAATATGAATTTCTACTCATATTATTTCCTTTCTTATTGCTTTTTTCACCTTATTTATTTATATATTTCTAGGAAAGAGAATTCGCAACAGGTGTCAAACACATACTCTGAAATTAGGGAGAGGACTTCCGTGAATGTATACTTAAAATAATAGCTTTTTTTTTTTTTGAGACAAGCCTGGGCTTTTTTTTTTTTTAAGATGGAGTCTTGCTCTGTCACCTGGGCTAGAGTGCAGTGGCGCGATCTCGGCTCACTGCAACCTCCACCTTCCGGGTTCAAGGGATTCTCCTGCCTCAGCCTCCCGAGTAGCTGGGACTACAGGCGCGTGCCACCGCACCCGGCTAATTTTTTATTTTTAGTAGAGACGGGGTTTCACCGTCTTGGCCAGGCTGGTCACGAACTCCTGACCTCAGGTGATCCGTCCTGAGGGACCAGGCATGGTGACTCATGCCGTAATCTCAGCACTTTGGAAGGTCAAGGTAGGAGGATTGCTTGAGGACAGGAATTCAAGACCAGCCTGGGCAGCACAGCCAGACCCTGTCTCTACAAAAAAATTTCTTTTTAAATTATCCAGGTGTAGTGGTCCATGCTTGTGGTCCTGAGTCCAGCCAAGGTGTTAGGATCATTGGAGCCCAAGACGTCAAGGCTGCAGTGAGCTGTGATGGTGCCACTGCAATCCAGCCTGGGCAACAGAGTAAGACTCCATCTCAAAACAATTAAAAAACAAATAGTGGAGATCAGGAAACAATTAAATGTCCATTGAGGAATGAATGGATAAAGAAAATGAGATCTATACTTACC